AGCACCAACAACAACCGCGACGACAACAACAACAACAGCAACAGCAACAGCAACAGCAACAGCAACAGCAGCAGCCAGCCAGCCGTCCAGCCAGCCAGCAAGCAAGCAAGCAAGCGAGCAAGCAAACAAGCAAGCAAGCAAGCAAGCAAGCGATGAACCAACCAACCAACCAACCAACCAACCAACCAACCAACCAACCAACCAACCAACCAACCAACCAACCAACCAACCAACCAACCAAAGACCAACGACCAACAACCAGTCCAACGCATGTATGTACATGCGTGTAATAACCCTGCTTACAGAGCTTGCGCGCGAAGATTCTTAGCAATTTTAGGGAGACTCATAGTAGCCCCCTACAAATCTACAGCATACATCAGCGGCAGCATTCGACATGCCAGGTACATTCTGGAGGCCTTCTCTGGACGCATGTCCGCGCAATCGCTGCTGCCCAGGACGTTTGGAAAAGGCTCACTCCCCAGCTTCCTCAGCTTCAGACTTTTTGGGAAGGCCTTTTCAGTGGGTGTTTTGTGTGAGGGCGCCCCTTTCTGCGTGGTTGTTGAAAAGCAAACCAAAAGGCAAGCCAGTGACAGCTCAAAACACACACACACACACCATGTGGCAAAGGAGAAGAAGAAACTTTGTTGGCCAAACCAGGAGGGAAGGTGAAGCTGTGGACTTCCAATGTGGCGAGCGCATGATTCCACAGACTTCAAAACCTCCGGCTCAGACCGCCGACGTTACAGGCCTGCCGTTTTATTTGTCGCACAAGTACGGTGCGTCGTTGCGAATTGCTGCTTGCCCCATGATGAAATCATGGAATGTTAAAGCACCCCCTAGCTGACTACCCCCCGCTCCTGGAATTAGGGATAGCCCCTTATTAAGGCCTTATTAGGGTCTTAATAAGCCATTGTTTTTATGTTAGCAGAATAAGGGCAAAATAGGGGCTAGTGCTTCAACCTTTTTCGTCACCACTAGTTTGGTCGTATTTTGGGCTGAGGTCCGCTGAGATGTCAATGTCACGGGATGATGGGTTCCGGACTCGTCTGGGTGCCAAACAAGACAAGGTTTCAGAAAGACACAAACTCAGTCACGACATGTGCAGCACCCGCTCCAGCTGAATTCAATCGAATCAAGTTCTCACAAACAAAAACAACAGGAGGAAATTGTCTAGCGGAGCTTCGTGTTGCAACAATATTTTTGTCCTTCTGTTGGCCTGCCTGAGAAATCTTCAAATGCCGTCGGGGGTTGCCCATTTCGGCCTTATTTGGGCCTTATTTGGGCCTTGTTTGGACCTTATTTTGGCCTTATTTCAGAAATCTTCAAATGCCGTTGGGGGTTGCCCTTATTTGGGCCTTATTTGGACCTTATTTGGGGCTTATTTTGGCCTTATTTCAAAAATCTTCAAATGCTGTTGGGAGTTGCCCTTATTTCGGCCTTATTTGGGCCTTATTTGGACCTTATTTGGACCTTATTTTGGCCTTACTTTGGACTTATTTCAATTCTCTTATTTGAGCCTTGTGTTGGCTCGATTGCAAATGTTGAAATCAGGTGGCCTTATGGTTTGCTTTCTGTTTGACTTTAGGCAGGGTTTGGCCCTTCCTTTGACATAGTTTGTATTTTTTTGTGGGGGAAAGTGAGCGTCAATCAGTGGTGAGTAGTGAGCTGTGCAGAAAATGCTCTTACCACACGCCAGCGCAATCCCAAGTATTTGCATTCTGCTACCATGTGGGGTCCCAGGGAGTGGCGTTTGGCCGCTTGAACGATGGAAAGCGTCTGCTTGGCAAGGTCCGAGTTTGGCTTGTTTTAGCTCAGTCAAATTAACTTCCGGGGGGGGGGTAGTTGGCTAGGGGGTAGCTAAACATTCCATGATGAAAGCAAGTACAAAAGCAAAACCAGAACATTTTAAAGGTCAAGGCGTAGAAAATTATGTCACAAGAGGTCACGCTTCATTCAGTGAGGTTGTCACGAAAGCATTCAATACTCTGTATGACAGAGCTTCGGTGATTCCCAATCCCGTCCCTTCATTTGCCCTGTTGTTTCTCTTCGTTTCTCCATAATGCCGTCTTCATTGTCCTTCATTCCCATTCCTTTTTTCTCTTCAGTTCCCTTTATCTTCAACTGTTTGATAACCCTTTCATCTCCCCTTCATGCCCCTTCATGCCCCCTATGTTTCTCCTTCAGTTTCCATCTCATATCCCCTTCATGTCTCATGCACGCCCCTGTATTTCCATTCCCTTTATTTTCTCTGTGTTCCCCATTCAGTTCTATCCACATTCTATTCTCCCCTTCAAAAGTAATTCCAATTTTGCTGGGAATGCTGGCCAGGAACCTGCTCGAGTCGAACACCCCGGTGTTTTTTTTGTTTTTTTTTCGCAAGCGTGTCCCGCGTCTTGGAATGACTGGGTAGCACGTGGCCCCGGAAAGTCCAGACTTTTGGCCTGCGGGTAAGGGTAAGGGAAAAGGCAGACGTTTCATTGCAGCGCACGGGGCCAAGACGTCGGACCCTTCTCCCGTCAGAGTGTTTGCCATGTTTCTGCAATGTGTTCTGCGGGGTCTAGTTCAGAACAGCCTGTCAGATTTTTCCAGAAGGGCCTGTGGGCCTGTAACTAGGGTGCCTGATGGAAACATTAATGTGTGGGGTGACATCTTCGGGGAACCCCCTTAGAAAGGCGCCTCGGTCCATGATTCGACGTTCCCTGTAAGTCAATGTCTGCAGAAAAGCGGTGAAACAAAACCGCTTCCGCAGGATCGTCACCATGGTCTCTGCTTTGCAGACCCTCGGTGCCTTGGCCCACTATAGTCGCCAATTTGAAACTTGGTTGTTCTGCCTGCGGCGTGCTGGCAAGTCTGTTTGGTTGCTTTGGTTTGTTGTCTGTCTGTGTCTGTCCGTCGGTCTGTCCGCCTGGCCGCTTGCCTGCCAGCATGTTTGTCTGTCTGTCTGTTTGTTTGTCTGTCTGTTTGTCTTTCTGCCCGCGTGTGTCTGCCAATATGTCTGCCTGCTTGTTTGTTTGTTTGTTTGTTTGTTTGTTTGTTTGCCTTTATTTCCTTGTTGATTGGTTGTTTTTGGGTTGTGTGTGCGTGATGTGTAGTTTGCGTTTGTATGTATGATGTGTGGTCTGCGTTTGTGTGGGTGTCTGCGGTCTTGTTTGTGCTTATGTGGACGCGCATCGGTTTTCTTGGGGAACGCGTGCGTGTGTGCATGTCTGTGCAGTTGTATCTTTGAGGCGAGTGTGTGTGTGTGTACAGGGGTGTTCTGTGATTCAAGTTGCGTGGGTGTGTGTCTGTGTGTCTGCGCGCTTGTGCTTGCGTCGGTGCCAGTATTAGTTTGTTTGTGCCGTGTGCGCTTGAGAATGTCTACGTGTACCTGTGTGTGTGCGTGCCTGCGTTTGTGTGCGCGTGTGCTTCTCTCTCTCTCTCTCTGTGTTTGTGTTTGTGTGTTTGTGTTTGTCTTTGTGCGTTTGTGTGTGCACGTGTGCATGTGCTTGTGTGCGTGTGCGTGCGCATGTGCTTGTGTGCGTGTGTGTCTGCGAGTGTGCCTGCGTGTGTGTGTGTGAACCCTCCTAGCCCATGGAGGCCGAGGCTCACACCTGCCTCCAGTGATGAACCTTGCCCAACGAAGCTGCGTCACTGGAGAGGAAGCAAGGCCTGATCAGCCTTGTGTACCTGCAGAGGACTATCCGATGATTCCGTGTAAGCAGCCTCATCTCATGTAAGTAGCTTCTTTGCCGGCTTGAACCTTTCTTTGTGTTGAACGGTTACCCTAAGACCGTTCAACTGCCTTTGACTGAAAAGTGTGTGTGTGTTGTGTGTGTTGCATGTGTGTGTGTGTGATTGTGTGTGTGTGTTATGTGTCTGTGTGTGTCTGTGTGTCTGTGTGTCTGTGTCTGTTTATCGGTGTGTCTGTGTGTCTGTGCGGCTGTGTGTCTGCGTGTCTGCGCGTCTGCGTGTCTGCGTGTCTGTGCGTGTGTGTGTGTGTGTGTGTGTGTGTGTGTGTGTGTGTGTGTGTGTGTGTGTGTGTGTGTGTGTGTGTGTGTGTGTGTGTGTGTGTGTGTGTGTGTGTGTGTGTGTGTGTGTGTGTGTGTGTGTGTGTGTGTGTGTGTGTGTGTGTGTGTGTGTGTGTGTGTGTGTGTGTGTGTGTGTGTCTGTGTGTCTGTGTGTCTGTGTGTCTGTGTGTCTGTGTGTCTGTGTGTCTGTGTGTCTGTGTGTCTGTGTGTCTGTGTTTGTGTTTGGGTTTCTGTTTGTCTGTTTGTGTGTGTATGTTTGTGTATTTGCGTATACACCCGTTTGTGCCTTTTGATGAAGCAATCCAAAAACAACGCCTTAGCGAATACACATATTTTTAGGGTTGCGGTTTGTCCATGTCCGAACGATCCGAGGTAAGCGCTTCCACGGAAAGGTGGATGTCTCTTGCGCGTTGCTGCCCAAGAAGTTCATGAAGATGTGCACTTCGGCCATTCAAACCCTGCCACTTTGCCAGAGTCCTGATGACATAGAGGCGGGCCAGAGCTTGAGTCCTATTCCCCGATGTTGCATGTTTTGGTTGTTGCCAAGGTCGGGACATTTTTGCAGGGTGATTCTGTGACGGTGTTGATGGGCTGCGACATGTTTGTTTTGACAAGGGTTGTTGCAAGGTCGGTTTCCTGCAGAGAAAGAGCAAAGGAAAAGGGGCTTGGTATGTTCTTAGCCGGGAGTGGGGAATGACTCACCAGCAGGAATCTAGCACCAACTCTCAACGCCAAAGGCTTGGGTTTGCCTATTGCTTCCTTTCCAGGCTAAGAGTCATGTATTCCCGGTGGCCGATAGTCGGTGCTCGTTGGGGGTAGCAAAGTTCAGCGATTCATTCTCTTCAAAGTGCCCAATTTCCCCAATCTGCTCAAAAAGGCTATAAGGGCCCCAGACAGGAGATTAGGGCCGTGCCCTCTAAAATCAAATCAAGTGGTGATCGTAATTCCGGCAATATGAGAGTTTCTGAACATGACGGGCCCCTTTTTTTTTTTGGGGGGGGGGGGGGTTCCCTATTTTGAGAACCTTACATATTTTCCCCCTCGTATTCCCGGCGGTTTTCTTTGGCCAGATCACCTTGGCCCCTCGTGAGCAAGACCGCCGCGAGCGTGAGCTGGCAACTCTGGACCGAGATCGCATGAGCACCATGGGACTGATAGGCGCGGTTGCGTCGGGATGGTCAACCCCTGCAAAACGAGTGGCTCGTTTTTCGTGGAGTAGGTACCCCCTCTGCTTGGTGGGTCTTAGAGGAAAAACACAAGGAGAACAATCCTAAACTCCTGCTTGGGGTCCAGACCCCTGGAATTTGCAGGGGTAGACGAGGGTTGCTAGGGGAGCAAGGACCAATGGCTGGCATTGATGGGAGGCCAGCCAAGGCCCGGAGGCCTCTCGAGGCCAAGGCAACAAACCGCCCGGTTTCTGACAGACCTCATGCTGAAGGTGAACACGTTGCCAAGGCCTTTCCAACCAAGCGGAGTCCTGGGCCCCAGCGTTTTTTTGTTTCCGTCTTCTTCTTTTCCGCTCCTTTTGGTTTCTCTTTCACTTCCACGTTTTGTGATTGTCCCCTGTTGAGTTTAAAGGGAATCTATCACTACCCGGTTGGGTTTAAAGGAAATCTATCACCACTGGACATATTGCTTCTTTTTCCGGGGGACTTCGCAAATGGAGGCTCAATAAGGGGCCCTTTCAACCTTGACATTGAAGACCTCTATTGAAAGGTATGTGCAAGCGTTGAACGAGTGCGGACATGGAAGCAACTGTCAAGAGACACTCCCCTACACATTCATTGCTCACTCCCCGAGTTTCTGGACTTTTTTCTTAAGGCCTACGGCCAGGCCCAGCCTACGCCCAAAGGGAAGAAGTACCCCAGTCATCCTGACGGAGTGATGCTGATGTTGCATCTGACAAACACTGAGAGCGAGTGAGTGAGTGAGTGAGTGAGTGAGTGAGTGAGTGAGTGAGTGAGTGAGTGAGTGAGTGAGTGAGTGAGTGAGTGAGTGAGTGAGTGAGTGAGTGAGTGAGTGAGTGAGTGAGTGAGTGAGTGAGTGAGTCGGTGAGTCGGTGAGTCGGTGAGTCGGTGAGTCGGTGAGTCGGTGAGTCAGTCAGTGCGTGCGTGCGTGCGTGCGTGCGTGAGTGAGTGAGTGAGTGAGTGAGTGAGTGAGACTAGCCAAAAGGTACTGGGCAGATTGCATTCGGGCTCGTGGCTTCCTTGCAGGTTTCTTGCTGTATTTTGTTTTTGTTCTCGGGTTTCATGTCAATCTGCATGAGGCATCTTCTTGGCGTCGCTTTTTCGGGTTCCGAAGCAGGCTCGACCTTTTTTCGCCGAGTCGCTCTCTCGGACTCTCGGCAGGCTCCTATGCCTGCAAAATGGTGGTCGGGGCCTTGGCCGAGTTCGGAAAATTGGGTTTGAGACTCAGCCGTAAATATATATATATATATATATATATATGAGCGACTAACTTTATTTACCTTAATGGAAACATGCAAGGGGCTGGAACTATTTTTGGAAATGTGCATATTTAGCCGCAGAACGAGTTGGGGAACACCCCGAAAACGAGCTAGGGCAAACAAGCATGATAACATGGATTAGGAAGACATTTTGTTAAAACGAGTTCCAAAACGAGTTCAAAACGAGTTCAGAACGAGTCCCCTACAGCGTCCAAGTGAGCATTGGCCCAGTTCCTCCTCTCAAGTATTACTTTTCAACAAATTGTGTAGCAGCAGTTTGCTTAGCGAAAGGTTGTGCAGCAACAACGAAGGAGACAAAGGAGGCGGCAAGCTAACCAAAGCTCGCTTACTTCTTTAAGCTCCTCTTCTTCAAGCTCTACAGAAAGTTGAGCCAGATAAAACGAGCGCGGTGTTGGAAAACGAGATAGGGGGCTGCGACCGAGCGCGGGGTTGGAAAACGAGTCAGGAACACCCGTCCATTATGCCATGCAACAAATAAAAGCCGTTGCTCATAGAAACTCCTTGGAGAATGTGCCAGGTCTATAGTAAAAACCCAGTTAACCCCAGGGTAATGGTTTGGCTGTACCTGGATCCCCAAGTAGCCACTTTTTTCCAGCCACTTTACCCACTAGTAGCCCATAATTTGGCAAAAGTAGGAAAATAAGTTGGCCACTACGGATCCAGGCAGCCGTACTCCTTGACCCAGTCAAACTTCAAAGGTGTGGGGATGGAACGACGGTATCACGGGTCCCAGTATGTCCCACAATGAGTTGGTGCCCTTTTTGTATCATGGCTTACTGCAGGTTTGGGTGAAGGAGCGAATGCACAACGCTTTGTTTAGTTGCTTGCTACTTTGGATGGATGACATCCTAACTGATCAGTGGCTTCCTTTCTGATGAAATAGCTGCCCGGAAAAGCAGGGGCGTGAAGCACAGGACTCCAATTTGGGCACAGGATTCATGCTTACAACGTGGGAAAAAGCAAATTGCCGCCGGAGATTCATGGACCATCTCAGGCTTTTGACCTCGATACGGGAAGCAAAGAGGCTTTATCTCCAAGTTCTCCCGGAAGTTAGGCCAAGCCCCTAATTTCTGTGGGTGGACGTCCTGGAGAATTTCAATAACGAAACTCACGTTCAAACATTGTCCAAACCAAATGCCAGCGGGCCCGAAAGGAAGTAAACTTTCTCGGGTCCCGGAGTGAACGAGTCCACACCCAGAGTGACGTAATCCTAAGCAACGGGCATTTCCATGGGTTTTCTCCAATTCGGGCTTTGACCGGGTCTCGAGCACGTTTGCGCATGCGCTTGCAAGCTTTTTCGGAGAATGACGGTTTCCCACCCAGCAAAAAGTGGATCGCTTGCACTTGTTGCTTTCTCCAGGTGACCCAAGAATGGTTGACTTCCTCCTTATCTCCATTTTGAGAAACTCCCATGTCAGCGGCCGACCAAGCGGCACCTTTAGCCGAGCTTGTCTGCGGCAGCGTTGGCGAGCTTTGGTCAATACCCCGGTTATTGGCTGTCAAGGAGGTTTGCGGACCGGCAATAGACATGTCGAGAACTATTGCAAGTGTTGCGGGGAAGGGAAACCTAGCCACGTTCCACTTCTTGGAGTTTTCACCATGGCGCGTACAAATAAATTGGCATAGACAGTAATACCATTTTGTTTGCATATCTAGGGTGTGTCGTTGTTTCGGGTACCCCGAAAATGGTGGTGAATTTGTTGCTTCCCTTTAAACCCACCAACAACAGGGTACCCAGAAGTGCACAGCCATAAATACATATATATATATATGTGTACATGGCGGGGGTTTAAAGGGAGCCCCAAGGCAAACCACCAATCTAGCGAAGGCGGCCGCTCTCATGTTTGAGGCAGCTGTAAGGATTCCCGCTAGGGGAGTCACCATGCCCGTTTTGGACCATGCCACACATGTGTCGTGGTCAACCTTTAAATGACCATCGGTAACTTTGTCCATTGTGTCAGAAGTATAATCTGTTTAGTAGTTTTGCCCAATGGTCATCCCATGTTGATCGGACCTTTTGATCAACTGCATATCTTCTGTGGACAGCAGAGACCCCCGCTTTGTGGAAAGTTTAGAGAGTCCCTCCCAGAATTCATCATTATTGGACTGAGCGAACCCCCCTATGGATTTTCTGGGAGAATGTGCCAGGTCTATAGTAGCTAAGTTGTGGCTGCAAAACCCTTTTGAACTTCAGGGGTAACGGTTTCGTTGTACCTGGATCCCCAAGTAGCCACTTTTTTCCAGCCACTTTACTCACTAGTAGCCCATAATTTGATGCACAAGTAGCTGGAAAAGAAGGGCCACTGAAGATCCAGGTAGGGGCAAGTCTCTTGGACCTTTGCTTTTTGCTTCAGATCCTCGGCTCGTGGGTTTTCGAGTCGAGCTAGGTCCACCCCATGCTGGGCTTGCTGCAAGTGGCCGGGCAAAGGCCCTTGGCCAAAGAGGAGGCCGGGATCAGTCCCTCGAAGCAGCGAAAGTTTCCCGAGGCGATTTTGCACAAGTGAGGTCAAGTACCATGAAGTGCGAATGGATGTTATCCTTCAAATTCCTCTCCTTGGTACAAGTGAGGTCCAGTACGACGAAGTGCGAATTGATGCCATCGTTTTTCTTTGTCTCGAATGGTGAGGACCTCTCAAAAATGAGTGTCGTGACGGGGATTTGTTTTTGTTCGCCACGAAACTGATCGCTCGCTCCATGCGCCGCAGGTTTTGGTGTGCAAGGAGTTCGCGCTGCTCACCACGTCCTTGGTGCAGAGTTTGTTCGACAACGAGATGCGCTGCGTGTCCAGCTCCAACTCGCAGGCCGATCAAGTTTGGGCGACTGAGCATCTGCACTAGGTCCCCCGGCAATTGGTGCCCTTTTGCCAACTTTGTTGGTTGGGAGATTCGGTTCCCCTACTAAAATAGACTACAGACAGAAAATCGGGTGCCCTGATTCAACAGAAAAAAGGGTACCAACTTATTCTAACCTCTCAAATCTGGAGGACCTAGTGAAGCTTGCTGCTCAGTAGGGAATGACCTTCCGGTTTTCGGGAATGAAGTGAGGGATTCACGTAAAGGAAGCTATAGGGGAGGGGTTTTTCTGGGTATTCCCTCATCTGCTGAGGACCAGTAAGGAAAGAAAGCCGGTTGATTTGGGTGCACCCTCCAAAGGTAGCGGTGCCAGTTTTTGGTTGGTGTCAAGGGAAGCCAGAAGGAAAAACACGTTTTCGGGAGGGGGGGTCCCCGAACAGAAAAGCCAATTGGGCCACTTTTCTCCAGCCACTTTGAGCCCATAATGTGGCAACAGTAGCTGGGAAATATATGGGCCACTGGGGATCCAGGTAGAACCCATTTGAGGTTATCCGAGTTTTGTTTCCCACCAGTCGCCTGACGAGTTGGGGGGGGAAGGCCGGAAGCATTTTGGGGACTGACTTCCCAGGATGCAGCGGTGTCCTTTTCTCCTTTTGGTTTGGAGAGGCGTTCCTTTTCACATCAAGCAATTTTGGGTGTCTTCCACGTCAGGGGGATGGGGAGGAGGAAAGGGG